CCTTCTCAGAACAAAGTCCTTTCACACCATTCATTTTTCACTGAACTGACAGCACCTTTCATGAAATGCTACAGATTTTTACATGAATATGCTTTATTTCCTGCCATGCAAACAGCTGTTTCTTAGCCCCATTGCACCTCGACTTCCCCTTGTACACAGTAGGCGCTCCAAACATGCTCGTTAGTCAGGTGGATGAAAAGTCATAGTGAGACTCAGAGTCCCCACATTGAGAGATGAAAAAGATAATATCTGGTCAGGAGGAAATTTCTGCTCAACATCTGCTCATCAACATCTCTTTTTTCACTATGTCAAAAAAATTAATGTCCTTAAACATAAGAAAAATTTACATCTTATTGAAACCAGAACTCTAGAACTTTTGTTCCCAATTCCCTATTATTTATGAGCTCCCTCTTGAAAGAAAAAAAAATGCACTAACTTATTCTTATCTTCACAGAAGGAGCACACCCACGTGTTACAAAGCGAAAGGGTGCAGACCTGGGAATCAAATCAAAGGTACAGAAGGCTTTTTCCTTGATGTAATTCTTTAAAATTTCTTCTGTTTTATAACATAAATCACTTATTTGTGAACCAAATAAAATTTATGTTTAAGTTCCGTTCTAGTGAATGAAGAGATGAAAAGTCATTATGATCATTCTTAATATTTGCATTTTGTTTCCTTGTGGAACGGATGTGGTCAAATTATGAAATGACTGGATGAGGACTCAATCCCTCAATATCTTCCTTACCTTCAACATATTCTTTTTCATTGTTTCAATGCTTTGATAAACAATTACTTTGTTTATTATTAATTTTGTTAAAAAAAAATAATGTCCTTTTAAGCCACAAAAAATAGGACAAGTCAGTATTTAAAAGAAGGCATTACTTTCTCCGTGCCTATACCTGCCTGTTACTAGGTGGTTTTTAATCCATATTTCCTTTATGCATCTAGATACCTATTGCTCTAAAAATCAGTAGTTAATATAAGAAAGATAGTTTCAAATCTTGGTAAACATAGACTTTAAACATAGTATCTCAATTTTCTGCAAATTTGCAAAAAACAACTTTGGAGGGGGAGGGGCCAGTGCTAGGGGTTGATCCCAGGGCCTTCCACATGCTAAGCAAGCACTCTACCACTGAGCTGCACCCCATCTCTGCAAAAACCCAATTTTAGAAAGCATACCTGTCATGACTACTTTTCAACCTGCTGAAAATGATCGCTGAACTTTGATTTTCCTTTAGACTCAAAAGAAGAAGTGTTTGTCAAAACGGTGGTTGAAGAACTCGATCAACTTGGCAATGTGGTTTCACTGAGAGTCCACTCCATAGAAGAAAAATCTTCTAAGATAAGCAACATTACAATGGAGCAACGAGTACCTTCTAAAGCATCATAATGAGAAAAGAAAATCATTTAAGAAAATTGTTGCCTTAGCAAAATTCCATGGGCCAAACGGAAATTTTCATTTCTTAAAAATAAAAGGACTGAAATTTGGGTTCCTTCTCCTACTTTGCTCATGTTTTTTGCATGTCACCCTTTTTTAAAAGAAGGG